CCAGCCCCCCCAAAATTAAGTTATCCATTTGAACCATTTGGAGTGACTTACAAAATTTTCTTTTAGACTTACAAAACGTTACAAAACACTTACAAAACGATGGCATATTTTTCATACTTTTTTGTGGAAGTGGGGGGGCTGGTGAAATGGACCTTCCTTTTCCATCTCTTGGAAAAAGTTCGAATTTGGTGGCGTGTAGAGAAAAAAACATGGGTTAGAATTGTGTTCTAGGTCTAATGTTTGAATTATTTTACATGCGTTACGATTTTGGAAAATTTTTTGAAATTGATACTTTGTACTGTTGAATTTTTGGTAGTTCTATTCATATTTTGAATGAATCGTCGTAAAATTAAGAGGAAAAGAGCGTGTTAGTGAATTCCATCACGTTCCACACTCTTTACACAGGAATAATTGTATTTTATACATAGTTAGTTATCTGTCATGTTGGAAAAGTTGTTTTCTTCCTTTATACACTCAATGTGAATTAGGTAGTTGTCTATTAGAGGTGTCATCTATTACTATATTTATACCACTGTCAGGACAGCGATTTGTAGAATGGAAACAACGACGACGACGAAATGACAAGAAAAACATAAATCACCCATTGTACTTGCATTTCCTAACAGAGGATTACGATAGTCATCTTAACTAGTCGCGCGGTGTTAATAAGCAACAATGGGATGCAAAAGTTTGTGCTCGACGATTTTTAATATTGCATTTCAGCAAAATCTTCCCATTCACTTTTAATTCCGCGTGTCTAGTGCACATCGGTTAGTTTACTTGACGCGTAAACAGATTTTTCCGTTCCTTTTTCTCTTTATTCTCTTATACTTTCTGTAAGATTTTTGCTTTTAGTCATTTGATAGTTTCTTTAAGCAGTAGCAAAAGATGACGGCGAGGCTGGGGGGTAAAATTAAGTCATTGATGGCATTCCTTGTCTGCGGATACAGACATACGACTGTGGCACTGTCAACAACGACAACCAGCACCGGAGAAACCGAGTTCATCATCGAGCAAGCGGAGTATAGGAAAAGATACAAGGAATGGAAACCGCGTGACATCGATAAAATTTTCCGAGAACATCAAATCGTCCCTGATGTTGTTGACGACCCACCCGTGAACATGTCTAAGGTATGAGACTTTATAAGATATTAACTTGTTTCAGATATTTTTCGATCATGAATGGATCATAATTAATTATGTTATAAATCGAATTCACTGATATTTAGGTAAAGGGATTAATCAATGAACGGTCTGTTCCTAGAACTTACCTCTCGCCTTCAATTTTGCCGCATAGGCAACAAACATACCGAAAAAATATTTGTTGAAAAACGCACATGCTTTTCGCTTTACAAGTTTCCTTTGAGACGATGTTGTTGCTATCATAGCAGGTATCGCCCAAGTAAGGTTCGCCTACAATTTTGCTACACGGGCAACAAAAAATATCGGAGAGCACAAATAGTCCCCATTTTAACAGCATAACATTAGAAATAATTCCCACTCCCCATACATTTCGATAAAGTAATGGACCATGCGAAAGCCTGTTGGCAGACACCGTCCACTCGACGTTCATATCTTTCATTTCGCCGTACAGGCAACAAAATACCTGGGAGAACGAATAGCTATTAGCAAACTCGCAAAAATTGAACAAAATCGCCATCTGATTAATATTTGCTCCCGTAATTTACGAATTGAAAATTTGAGTCGGGAGCTTTTAATTTGTTTTTATTCGGTGTCTTTGATAGATTTATTCCACTGAAATAGCTGGTTCAATCGTTGATAGCAAGCAAAATGAATTAACCGCAATAATTACGCTAATAACCGGGTTTTTCTATAAATTTTTCGTAGATTCTATTTCCGTTCAACCACTCTCCTGAATTCGGTAATGAGATGAACCTGTCCCTCCATACACACATAGACTGGGCACAGTGGCCTGGTACGCTGAACGACACGTACACTTTGATCTACACAAGTAAGTAAGTATGGACAAGATACACATATTGTAGTGAGCGGTGTGATTTTATGTGCCGTAATATGTTGCTGTGCAATGGATATACGCCTGCTGCAAAACTGAATACCAGTTCATTTGTATTTTCAATCAATTTATCTGGGGAGAATGAATCATACCTTTCACAGCACATTTTGTGCCCTTTTTATGTGGGGTTGATTTTCTCAGTACTCTATAAAAAGTAGTAGGATTTATGAAATTAAATAGTTCTTTCGTGACCGTTTACAGGTAATGGGGCCTCAGTCCAGGGAGAAAAGTATTATTGTATCGCTGGTTTTGACGATTTAGGTAACAAAATCGGATTTTGAGATGTAAACGGAAACTCTCAAGTGCGCTGAAGAATAAGTTGCAAGCGGTTCATTCCAGTTTTGCACAAGTAGAGAAAATGGAGTAGCATTATGAACTGACTCTGCCATACTTACCTTAAACAAGGTAGATTGTCAATTTTGAGATGTAGCTTTTCCTCGAAACCACGTCTTTCCATCTGCGAATTTTAAACCGCTGTATAACTATTGTTTGGTTAAAATTTCTGGACAGTTTTTAGCCCAAAATTCTCAGGAAACATTCCTCAATTTCCTAGCGTCCATTATTCAATTTTGAGTTTTTGTGAATTAAATTCCATTTCCTCGCAAGCAGTCACATATCGACGGTGTAACTACCAGACCACGTATCGCGCATGCAGTGGATAAACATTTCTGCTCCATCTTTTTTTTTTTTTTTTTTTGAAGGATAACAAATGAATATCATTGTTTGAAATTTTCCCAGAGTTTTCTTCGCTCAGAGAAAAAAAAGTCACAAAAGTATTCGAGACGACGTTTAATAGTTTTCCACTTAAAAAATGAAGTATGACATGAACTTTGCAACGTCACAAATTGAGATGCGTGGCCTGGTTGTTTCACCGTCGATATGCACGTTCACGAAAGAATTTAGATTTGATGGATTTTATTCGCAAACGAAGTTTTAATCTTGTCTCGTTCATCATAGCCATTGAGAATTCTATGCTTGTCGGCAAAATAATTTTTGTATTCTAACGTTTAGTGGCGAGGCGAGAATGATCGATTTTCGATATTTCCCCATTGAAGCTATGGTAAAGAATCTATTATTAAGGTGGTCGTAGCGAACTCCCTTTTTATCGATCCTTTTCCATAGGATTAAATGGCAGATGAATGGATGTACCGTAAAGCACGCCACGCCGCTGCTAACGTCGTCTCCTGACGTGTAATCATTCTGACTATGTGCTCTAAGTAATTTGACAAGAAGAAAATCAATTGGAAATAAATTTTACTGGTCGCATTTTCTCTTTCAAGTTCCTGACGTTCCGAGTCGGGAGAGTCCAACTTCTGGAGAGTACCAAGTATGGATTGTCGGGAATATCGAGGGACCGATCTACATACAAAATGAAACGTTAACCGAATACGTTAAACCGACGCATCCGAATGGAACAGGTAATTAAAAACTAATTCATGGCGTTCGAAATCACAGAAGTCATTTCCACAAAATATTTTGTTCGCTTTTTTACATGCGTGGCTATTGTTTTATTTTAACGTTCTTCCACAAATTCTAAAAGTTTTGGGTTGCCATATGGATAACTATATTAAACCGACTTCAATCATTCCTGCTTTGATGGACCATGAGTCCCTCCAAGGGGGAGACAAAGGGATAGGAGGAGGGGGAGGATGAGGAGGAGGAGGAGAAGGATGAGGAGGAGGAGGAGGAGGATGAGGCGGAAATATAGTTATATTTGCTTTAATACTTCGTATTTTAATTACGCATTTTCCTAAAAAGTCCTGTTTTTTTCAAGGTTTAGTATCCTTCCAGGAATGTAACTTTTGGGCGATTGAACCTTTTTCCATACATGGTAAAGATTTACTTTCCAAAAAAATTGGTTTCAAAAAGTCCCGACGAGAGATGATCAGAAAACAGGCGGAGCTGCCTGAAATATTTTTTAAACGATTCATGCGGAGATCAATGTATTAGTTTCCCAAGACTGGATGAAAATTCAATTTCCGCGTTACTACTGTGTTTGTATGTGAAACTGAACACTTTTTACCTCCCTTAAAAAAATTATCTAATGATTATGTTTTTTTTGTGTTTTTTTTTGTTTAATATTTTTCTCTCGAAATCGCCACTCAGATTCAGGCCCTTTTTTCATACCTTATGGCATCCATTTTCATTGTACTTTCATCTTACAGGTTTACATAGACACGTTTTCTTGGTGTACAAACAACCCTTTGGTAGGTTGATTAATTTTGACGAACCGTTTCTGGATGCAAACACGTAAGTCATATTCAGTAACATCTACATTTTTCTGTGAAGACTTCAAATAATTAATGTTTCAATACATTTTTGATGATTTTTTCAATTGATTATATTATGAAAAAATAAATGGTTGCTCACACTATTTTAAGCGTACCCATAAAATTAATAAAATGATGCTAAAATGGCGGTATCCACGAGGGTTATACATAAAAATTATTAATGGAATCCTTCTTTCCATAATCGTCTCATCCTGTTATATAGAGCCCAAATACTTTCAATAGCCACCATATGTGGTAGTGTTGTAATTGACTATGTCTAACATCGTTCAAATTCTGACTGTACACCAGTTGTATAAGTATAATTGAGGAGAAATTCCTCCTCCGTGAACATCGGTATATGATTTGAATCTCAATTGACGAATGAATACCCTAACGACAAATTTCCTAGTCTAAAATAGTCCATGTTGATGCCCGTCCATACATAGAATCGGTGAAATTCCAGGAAACGTAAGTATTCTTAGCCTGAAAATTATGATCAAGTGAAAATATGTAAAACATATTCAAGGACAGATCTTACGAGCGGTACTTGTGTGAGATTTCTTTGATATTTGTCAAATTCTTAGATGCCCAAAACTTTTTTTCCACGCCAAGTCCCAAGTCGGGTCAGATTGGCCCGTCCTTTAATACATTGATTTTGATATTTTTTGAAGTATTATCTATTTTTTTTCTAAGTTTTTGAAGCTTGCATGTATTAAATTTATAGGTAATATACAGAAAATTTTTGACTTACTCAGAATTTATATTCAGGCCAATTTGACTCGGCTTGGGATTTCTAGGGGTGGTCGTCAAATGAAAATTCCCCGACACGACAAATAACTCTCGCCAAGATACCAATTCAGGGTGCTTGAGAGACCTCCACTTTATCTGGACACATCATATCATTTTCAGTAAATGTAACCTTCGATTTCCTCAAATTTCAAAAATAAGAGACACCTCAAAGCGCGTTGATAATGGCGCAGAGATACAAGTATTCGTGCTTGATGGATGCCCATGTTGCATCTGCAAAATTGAAGGCGCGATAGAGCAATGCGTGAACTCGCAATGCTCCGTTCCAAGTTGCCAATGAGGTGTCGTTCGAACTCGGGAGAAAAGTTACAAAACGAGACTGTCAAATATGTCTCTCCTATTTTCGGCTGTGTTGACACTCGATTTTTTCCATTCTCTTTTTATACTTAACGCCTGATTCTTTACCTGTATCCTATGTAGACCTATATCTAAAGCTCGTATATACTGGCCCCATAACTCCTTCAGAGGAGATAGTCAGGTCTATTTGACCCAGCTTAGGATTTTTAGGGGTAGTTGCCAAAAAAATTTCATGACATTCGAATTTTTTCTATTTTTTCAATTTGATGTCTGATTTTCTTTTCACGACATATTTGTTGACCTACATCTGAAGTTCTTATGCACCGGCCCTGTGCAACCCGCGGAGCACGTTTTTTTTTTTTTTTTTTTTTTTTTTTTTTTTTTTTTTTTTCTTTAGCAAACCTCGGGTCAATTTGAGCCGGCTTTGGCGTCTGAGGGCTAATCCGGGTATAAAATGATTTTACTTTCAGACCATTGGATCCGAGAAGATACAATTTTTCTACGAGAGCCTTTGCAAAGAAATACGATCTTGGAAAGCCAGCTGCTGGGAATTTTTTTCTTGCTTACTAAAGAATGAAGAAAGTGATCAAGACAGAAAACTAGGACAATCTCGTATGCTCCATCACCTACTCCGTTAGAACTATAAGTGTGCAATGAGATACCGGTGTGGAATTTGATCAGCACGATTCCATAGTATGACTTATGAGGTTGCATTTGCCCTGATTCAATGAAGCTTTAGTTCTTACTCATTGCTGGAGTCTTCTTGGTCATGTTTTAAAAAGATTACGTAAATTGCATGATTGAGCAGCAGTGTATTGTCATAGTTTTAGATTTTCTTGAGTGTTTTTAAATTGTGATGTTTGTAAGATTTTGCTTTGATCTTAATAAAATAAAGAGGTACATTGAAAAGGTACATCATAATACTGCCGTGTGAACATTCGAGAGTTGTCAAATTTCCTCCGATAAAATGCTTATTTTTATATAGAGAATCATGAATCATTTTTTTTGACATTTTCAAATAATTGATTCATGATCGCTGATAAAATTTTCCAAAAAATTCATAGAAATATATTTTACAAATTTCCCTGAAAATTCTTATTTTGTCGATGGAAACTTGGCAACAGCTGAAAGTCAATATGGCATTCTTCCTCACCACGGCAGAATAATAACCATATCAATTGAATATTTGATTCATCAAACCAAACGCTGAATGTGATCAAAGTATCGGTTTGAGCCGACCAGAGAGAGGAGGTTCGGTTAAGATTCCTTCTACAAATCGACAGTTCGGCTCGGTTTAAAAGGTCGAAAACTGCGATCTATACGTGACATCGAACTTCGGTTCCTATGATCAATATTTCTCTCAAAGTGAATAACGCACAGAGAGTAGAAGTTTTGCACCAATATTAGAAGTCTTGTACTTATAAGTTGGGCTGGACGGGGTATAAATATATCGAAACGGCTAAAATTGTATTACCTAAACAGTTGCGGCTAGCGAGTTGAAACTTTACAGTTACAAAGATGCTCTTCGAGAGCTAAAGTGGAAACCGCCGTCTCTCAACCTCGTTTAATATGAGAACGGTGAAGTATTTTGGCATTCCGTCGTTTACCTCACTAAAGATGGTGACAATATTTCAATATGTTGCCAAACTTTCCCTTGAAAATTGTATTTTTACCAGAATAATCTTAGGAATTTCTCAGTGAAAATTTCACTGGTTTTTCCCTGATCTCTTGTAAAAATCAGACAAATTTTAGACAAAAATTGGACTTTTTCATTCCTGTGGAAAATTTGATTGTTTGCGACAATTTTGCAACCTTGGAATGGTGTTCCTCCTGGGAGGAGAGGAAGGGGATGTCCAGTGAAAGGGTGGCGACAGGCGACGGTGGGTTACAACATGAAATGAGAAAGTGTCAACTCTTTAAAGGGTTATGGGAGGACCGACAACTTTGGCGGTTAGGCGTCGCAGAGCGCCAGAGAGCGCTGTAAAATCGACTATTAGATATGTATGTATGAAACGGAGTTACGTTCTATCGTCGGAGAAACGACGATTTGGTCACTTGGCCAGTGGGAGGCCCTTGTTAAGCTCATTCAGGCACTCATTCATTTCATAATATTCCGGCTGTTTACTTACATCATAATTATTTACTCATAATCTGGTATAAATAGGGCTGAAAAATGATGATAACTCATGACGACCGTCTTTATTACCTGTCTTTATTACTCATAGTCTGGCATATTTAAGGCTGAAAAATTGTGATAACTTATTGACGACCGTCTTAATTACTGTCTTTATTACCTCAAAAATGGCCCTAATAAATAGATATTACGGACCTCAGTCCAAGAAAATAATGAGTACTTATTTGTCGGCCATTGAATTGAAAGGCGTGACGCGGCGTGAGAGGTAGGAACATTACTTTCACACCCGAATTGACCTAGGACGTGAGACAAAGTGTGTTTTAAGATGAAACAGAGAATCGGATAAGTAATAATTACTTATTTCAATTATTGTAATCAATAGTAGCCTACAAGCAGTGCACACTGCAGTCTAGTATGATATATTTTATATTATTTGGGAGCAAAATAGACCCGAAAATTTCAAAAATTGACCCCATTGACGGCGGCTCAAACCATGTTAATGATAAAGCGGGGAATTTGAAAAAAGCAATGTTAAATTTCGCCAGCACTGTTGCTGAAAAACTACTCAATTCAAAATAAACATAACATCATTAACATGCGAATCATGACTTGAGACTTTGATACAATATTCTCAAGAAAATAAGAGAAAGTTACGTATAGAAAAATTAGAATCTATACTTTTTTTATCCCAAAATGGTTTTTTTATGCTCATAAATAAAAGTAGTTAAATATTTTTCTATTCTCCACTCTGACTCACACTTTGCGGAAAAATCAGATCGGTGTAAATACTCGTACACCTAACTACGATGTAATGATTTTGGGCACAGTTACGCAGTGCTTCCTACGCTTCACATAGAAGTTTGATATTTTACCATTTTGTCTCATTTATTTCTGTGTCATTGACCGAGATTTCATAATTTGATCGACATGATGGTCGATTTCTTACGTAAAAGCGGCAAGGTGTTTCTACATGATAATATGCTCCTGTAGCTGTTTATCAAGTTTATCATGACAGTGATCGAGAGGAGCTCTATTCACCCGTTTCATGCTTGTTCCGGAGCAATTGTAGTACTAATTCTCGTTCAAGTGACAAGTTTCATGGTTAGAGGCGACGATGATGAAAAGTGGACGACTTTACAGCCGGAGTTCCGTGGGGCGCCCAAACCCCCTGAATTCGTGCGAAGATTATGGGGCATCTATAATTTGATTCCTTTTCCACTGGTGAAGATCCCTGAGCAAATTTTAGAGGTATTCGTCTTTGTGTTTCTTAATAAGGGAAGTGTGTAATCCACAAGAACTTGCCGGATTGTCCGACTTTCAGTATTGTTACTTAGTTGTAAAAATTTACTTAGGTTCATGACAAGGTTCGGTATCTCTTATAAAAATTAAGTTTTCCCTTTTACAGCAGTCTCTCTCTGAAACATGAACTCAAGTGACCGGCCGATTTTTTCACTATAGAGAGGTTCTCGTTATAACGATAGTCAATCAGAAAGAGACGGACGAACTCCGACATCAATGACTCAGTAGACTAAGGTACCATTGAGGGGTGCAAAATCTCTACGATACCTTGCCTCGATCCCGCGAAGAAAAGCGCGCACCGTTATAAACGTGCAATGCGTGAGGTATTCCTGCAGTCTTGTAGGCGCTAATATATGCGTCTCGTGTCAACCGCATTGTGTTAGGCGCGATTGGTTTAACTTACGGAGTCGGCGTTTTTCAACTTGTTACAACCATTAAATTTTTGCACACTCTTTCATAAATTTAAATAAAAAACACAGCAATAGTGATGAAAATTTAGTGAACGTATATGCAATTGATTTATCATCAACAGGAATAATAATCGTTTATGCTCTTGAGAAGGCAGATTCTAAGATATAAACCTGCACTTTGACTCACGAGCCAGGTCGACAGTCGCTCGCTACAGAAAGAGTTCCTCCGTTGCCCGTGCACGCTTGTTACGTCGGGAGAAAAATACATATCGACGGTGAAACTACCAAACCACGTATCTCGGTTTGCGACGTCGCAGACTTCCTGTCATACTTTATTTTTTAAATGAAAAACTACTTAACATCCAGTCTTGAAAATTTCTGTGATTTTTCCTCTTTGTGCGGAGAAAATTCCATGAAAATTTCAAGGAATAATATTGATTTGGTCTACTTCAAAAAAATAAAATGTGAGCGTAGATTTTTAAACACCGCAAACGAGATACGTGGTTTGGTAGTTTCACCGTCGATATATTTATTATCTCAAGAAACCGACAGATTTCATCGTTACAGATAGGTTCTCGTTGTAACGATAGTCGTTAGTAAGTAAAAGAGTAAGCATAATAATTAATGGAGGAATGAGGTACACTGGAAAAAAAAACACATTGGATCTTGAATCCAGACTCTTGAAAACATTGACAAGAAAAAATACTCTTGATTCAATCGGATTTTTGCTTGAATCAAAACAAAACCCGCTTAAATTAAGGGGCTTGGTTCTTGATTTAAGCTAGATTCTGATTGAATCAAGAGTACTTTTTCTTGTCGATGATTTTAAGAGTCTGGACTCTAGATCCAATGTGTTTTTTTCCAGTGCATGTTACTATTTTGCGCATAATAGTAGGGCAAAATACAACGTTAGTAATTCCTATGCGTGTCTAGATGTGTAGAGCATATCTGTCCATGTAATTTTGGCGCGGGGGATTTGTCAATTTGAGCGGATTTCCTTTTGATTTAAGCAAAAATCTGATTGAATCAAGAGTCCTTTTTCTTGTCGATGTTTTTAAGAGTCTGGACTCTAGATCCAATGTGTTTTTTTCCCAGTGTAATCAGTTATAGGAATATGTAAGTAGTACTTTCAAAAAGGATATAAACTCGTTCAATAAGAAAAAGTACAGTCGCATATTTAGAGTTCAAAAACCTCTCTCAGCAAATGAATAAATAGTCTTGAGCTTGATTTGACTGATTCATGTTTGATTCTCTGATTACACTGGAAAAAAAACACATTGGATCTAGAGTCCCGACTCTTAAAAACATCGACATGAAAAAGTACTCTTGATTCAATCAGAATCTAGCTTAGATCAAGAACGAAGCCTCTAATTTAAGCGGATTTCGTTTTGATTCAAGCAAAAATCCGATTGAATCAAGAGTATTTTTTCTTGTCAATGTTTTCAAGAGTCTGGACTCTAGATCTAATGTGTCTTTTTTTTCCAGTGTATAAATTCACTTAATCTTTCTTGATATTTTTCTTTCCAGATAGAATATTTGGATAGAATCGAAGTAGGCACTGGGCGCTATTTGTTTGCTCGAGATTTGCGTAGTCCGCCTACTCGCGTTGCATGGCCGAAGCAGTACGTGCGTAGTTACTATGCTCTCATCATGACAGGTAAATTTCTCAATTCAAGATATGGATCAAGTGTCGCACCTGTCTTTAATGTTGTTGTTTTAATTCATCTTTAATTATTGCACCACTGTAGAAAAAATACTGCACGTATTTATTGTATCCACAGAATAGTTTATTTCAAACGTGCAGTAAAAATGAGAACGAAAATAAACAGAATATACCGTAAAAATGGATCATGGATTTAGCCTATTTATCCTACCCAAAATTATCCTTGATCAACCAGAAATTTGGTCAAAGTGTTTGCAGTGTAGTAAGTATAAGTGACTAAAATTTGAAGTTCACATCCACCAAAAAAATTTAAATTATACCATTTTTCCTAGAGCCACAACTGGGTAGGAATAAAATTTAATTTATTATTCTTTTCCCCGTGTAGTTGTGTTCATTATAATCGAGAAGAAAAATTTTAATTTAAGAAAAAAGTCACACACATAATTACTCCTAGAGTATTAGCTTATTCGTGCTCGATTACAGTTGGTTTGAACCAGGGTCGGACTGGCTCGCATCTAAGGGCGTAGACCCTTGGCTAATTAAAGGGGCGTAATGTGATATTTCCTGGTAGGACATTCCCTACGTGGAGAGGGGCGCAGAAAATTTTGGTAAATCAGCACAAGTTTACGCTATTTTCAGGTTCAAAGTTAATTGATCGCACGGAGTAAAATTGCAAAATTGAACGTGAAGCTCAGCATTGAGAGCTCACGCTTCGCGTCATCGCGCCTTCAATTTTTCAGATGCAGCACGGGCGTCCATCAAGTACGAATAGTTGTATCTCTGCGCCGTCGTAAACACGTATCCTTTCCCTCCCTCTTTTTCCATATTTTGTTTGTTTCCGTTTGTCTTATTCGTAATGATGCTTCAAGCACTACGTGAGTAATACAGCCGAAGGTAGGAGAGATGTCTTCGGGCCTTTTTTTTAACTTTTCTCCCAAATCAGAGCGACGCTTCATTGACAGCATAAAGCAGAGCATTGAGAGCTCACGGTTCGCGTCATCGCGCCTTCAATTTTTCAGATGCGGCACGGACGTACGGACGTCCATCAAGTACGAATAGTTGTACCTCTGCGCCGTCGTTAACGCGCATCATTTCCCTCGCTTTATTTCCATGTTGTGTTTGTTTGCGTTTGTCTTATTTGTAATTTTGCTTCAAACTAGAGCAGAGCATTGCGAGTTCACGACTCACGGCATCGCCGTGATTCTTACATTTTTCAAATACAATGTGGACATCCATCTTGCGCGAATAGTTGTATCGCGTTTACATTTTAGATGTCTCTTATTTTTGAATTTCGAGATAAATCAAGATTAAGTCTGCCCGAGCTAAGCTATGGTATGTCTAAATCAATAGTCATTTGAAAAGGGTTTAAAGGTCTCTTAAGAGGTCTACAAAGGGTGCGTATGTCTTAAAATCGAAGCGACCATCGCTTCTAAGGGAGTTACACATAGCAAATGAAGGAGGGGGATGATAAAGCGCCTGTATGTCAAGAAGAAGGTGAAAATTTCACAGAAAATTGTTCACGCTTCAGAAAGTAGTTCTTGGGCCTCTGTTCACCACAATCATGCGTTAAATCACCTTTCTTTACTCCTAACTATCTCATCTTCCGTTCATTTAAGAAATTTTTCTCACATATTCTCGGTGGTAATTTTTTTCTTCTTCTTATTCTGCTATCTGTAAGAGGGGCGCGTTTTTGGCGCGCAAAGGGGGCGTATCTGCCAATGGTAGATTGGCCTTATGGTCAGTCCGAGCCTGGTTTGAACCGAAACCTATGGGTAAAACTAAAAATTGTTCACGCTTCAGAAAGTAGTTCTTGGGCCTCTGTTCACCACAATCATGCGTTAAATCACCTTTCTTTACTCCTAACTATCTCATCTTCCGTTCATTTAAGAAATTTTTCTCACATATTCTCGGTGGTAATTTTTTTCTTCTTCTTATTCTGCTATCTGTAAGAGGGGCGCGTTTTTGGCGCGCAAAGGGGGCGTATCTGCCAATGGTAGATTGGCCTTATGGTCAGTCCGAGCCTGGTTTGAACCGAAACCTATGGGTAAAACTTGTGCACGTGGGCATAGGGCGTTATGCACGATACAATTATTTCGACTCCTCTGTAGCCGCATTGTATAACCATTCAATTGAAGACATCTTCAATTTACCACTTACTGCCACAAAAACATACAATTTAATACCCTTTACTCAAATTGCAAATCAGGGTACTCGAATTCCCATATTTTATCATCCGGTGCACCGCATGTAACTTTAACAACTGCTCATTAAAAGGCCTTAAGCCTAAGGCCTTAAGGCCTTTTGCCTTAATCAGAATTTCATGTAGCACACGATTCGCACAACGAAAATTACTGAGCCCAACTCCTAAGTACGAACGTTTTTATTTCAAATTGGTTAGGTTGAAATGGTAGGAATTTGAACTGCCCGCTGACAAGAAACTCAAAGCTCTACGTGAGTCAAATCGCACACTACAACGGTTTCAGCAAGCCTCTCAATCGAGCAGTGTTCAATTATTGTTCATTTCCCACCATGTGTTGTTCAAACTATTAACAATTTGCTGTAGCTGAGCCAAAGCGTCAAGATTGAGGTTGCCAGATTTTTATATCGCAGAGACTGTCATGATAACGTTAGGCGCGCGATGTGAATCACACAGAGCATTGAGTTTTCATGAGCGGATGGTTTGAATTCACGCATCAAGAATCATTAAATATCTTCGTAAGGAGTTCATTTCGGTAATTTTTGTTGTGAGCATCGTGTTCTATACGTGAAATTTTGGTTACAAAACATGTATTAGAATGCTGAAAGCCGTACCTTGTCTAGTGGTCCATTGCTTACTCCTACAAGTTTCTGCCTTTTTCTGCGTATTCATAAAAAGCCACCGAATTTGAAGTCATTCTTTACGTTTTGCAGGATACACACCGTCAGGTTTCCAGCAAGAAGAGTTCAGTGGCAGTTGCGGGTCTACGGATGGAGACAGCTCGCCCTCTTTACAGTCGAGTGAGGACGAGATTCAACAAATCTTGCCTGTCTTCCGTATGGGTAAGTTTAAAAAATATTTGAATCATTTCAAAACAAAGCTAATAACATTTAAGTTGAAATATATTCACTCGAGTTAGTTATATTCACATCGTTTTTCTCGTGAAATCAACTATGAGATTCAATAGTCAAAAGCAAAGTACAAATAACTCATTTATTGTGTATTTCACATTACAACTGAAAATTTTTCTCTTACTTTCAGACCACCCTCCTGCTGAAGTCCTCGAAAGCGTTTCAGTCCACCCTCCTGCTGAAGTCTGTGAAAGCGCACCGTCTTGTTCCACGCAAATACGTAAGTTTTAAAACTATTGGTCCTACTTTTAGTCCTAAATGGAAGTGGTAACATACTCAGCAAATACTTCACAAATTACAACTAGGTGTACGTGTAAAAATCATTAACCAAAAAAATTTATAATGTACATAGGATCATTCAGCAATTTATACGTTCTAGAGCACTTTTTTTACATCCAGAATGTTAAATCAACTTCGCTTTTTTTCGATGTGGTAATACTTAAATTGAATTGACGAAAATCCATAAAAAATATATATTTCCCTTCTTTTCAAGACGTATATAGCATGTGGTCCTACCTCAGAACTAAACGGCGCGGCGCGGTATTTCTTTAACTAGTGGTAAATGGACCACTAGACTAGGTACGAATTTCAGCATTCTGATACATGTTTCACAACCAAAATTTCACGTAAAACACGATGCGCACAACGAAAATTACCAAAATCAACTCTTTACGAAGATATTTAATGATTCTTGATGCGTGAATTCAAACCACCCGCTCATGAAAACTCAATGCTCTACGTGGCTCACATCGCGCGCTAAACGTTATCATGACAGTCTCTGCGATATAAAAATCTGGCAACCTCAATCTTGACGCTTTGGCTCAGCTACAGCAAACTGCTAATAGTTTGAACAACACATCGTCACCTTCCCGGCAAAGTATCAAAAGCGCCATGCGACGTTTAAAAATTTCCGCCGGCACTTTATTTATTTACTGAGAAATTGTTGGTTGAGTCAGTTTCAGAATTTCACTGAATATTATCTGCAGCATAAAGAAAATTCAGTGAAATTTTCGGACAGCTTCGTTGAAAAATTTCTCTGTAAAAAAATAAAATGGCGGCGGAAATTTTTAAACGTCGCATGGCGCTTGTGATACTTTGCCGGGAAGGTGACGACATGGTGGGAAATGAACATTGCTCGATTGAGAAGATTGCTGAAACCGTTGTAGTGCGCGATTTGACTCACGTAGAGCTTTGAGTTTCTTGTCAGCGGGCAGTTCAAATTCCTCGTTACCAATGTGAAATAAAAACGTTAATATCTTCGTTAGGAGTTGGTTTCAGTGATTTTCATTGCGCGAATCGTGTTCTACGTGAAATTCTGGTCAAGGAACATGTATCAGATTGCTGAAATTCGTACCTTGTCTGGTGATCCATTGCGTGTTTTTATTGAAAACACTTACAAAATCTTACGGAAATTTTTTCTCTTTGGTTCCAGCCCCACCACTTGCGGAGTGCGTTCCCCTACAAATAGCGCCTGTCCCAAAAGAAGACGATCCTGCATATATTCCCACACAAATAATTGAGTCGGTAAGTTAGTAATAAGGCAGACTATGTTTATATAAGGTGTTTATAATAAAAACAAGTAAAATGTACATTTAAATTGAAGAAAAATTGGATTGCATTTTGAAAAAAGGAACCACTAGCATTGCAATGTTTCTAAGATTGTGCAACTTCTTTTGTCTTGGAGGAAAAACTCGATTATCCATTAATAGTTTCTATTTTACACGCTAAAAACTGTAAAAAGACAAAAATTACGATCTAAATTTCATAGTTTTTTACGATTTCCACAATTTTATTGCAAAGGATGAAGTTGCACAATCTTAGCATCATTGCAATGCTAGTGGTTCCTTTTTGCAAAATGCAATCCAATTGTATCCTATGTGTTTTTTAGGGCTGAATTCGAATCAGAACTTTGCTACCTTCGATTCACAGCCCTGCGTTCTTTTGGTCATGTGACGTTGCATGGCATGTCTTGATTGATTCCTATGTATTTTTTAGCGCTGAGTTCGGGAAAAATATCCAAAAAATTCCAGCACGTCAGGATTTTCCGCAAATTCAAAATTTTGGTTTTTTGGGGGGAAAATTTCCGAAAAATTGAATTTTTTTTTTTTCAATTTGACCATTGATTTTGGTCTCTAGTATCTCTACTAAGTATGAAATATCCATTGCACGTCAAAAGGAAGCCTGAAAGAGTGATAAATGTCCGAATTTCGTCAAATTTTATGCATTTTTTGTTGATTTTTATCACCAAACAAATCGTTTTCTGGTCAAAATTTTTAAAAGTACGACTCGAAAAAAATTTATTCCCCCATAATTTACTTCCCTTAGTACCCCCTAATCACCAGAAAAAGTAAACACAAGTTTCTAAAATACTGTGAAGAGGGGGGAGGCGACAAGATGTCATGAGAGCTCCACGCGGCTTGCGGCGTCCATCGGATTTATGATCAAGCGATTATGATCATTTTTATCTCACCCACTGTAATAAGCTTATTTAGCATCTAAGCTCCTCCTCTCCTCTCAATTAAATACATGAAATTAACTTACAGACAATTTTATTCCTGCGTTCCCTCGGAACCTGCGCGAAACGGCGCCCTGCGGAAATAAGCCGCGACCCGCGTGGAGCTCTCATGACATCTAGGCGCCTCCCCCCTCTTACCAATATTTTAGAAACTTGTGTTTACTTTTTCTGGTGATTAGGGGGTACTAAGGGAAGAAAATTATGGGGGAATAAATTTTTTTCGAGTCGTACTTTTAAAAATTTTGACCAGAAAACGATTTGTTTGGTGATAAAAATCAACAAAAAATGCATAAAATTTGACGAAATTCGGACATTTATCACTCTTTCAGGCTTCCTTTTGACGTGCAATGGATATTTCATACTTAGTAGAGATACTAGAGACCAAAATCAATGGTCAAATTGAAAAAAAAAAAATTCAATTTTTCGGAAATTTTCCCCCCAAAAAACCAAAATTTTGAATTTGCGGAAAATCCTGACGTGATGGAATTTTTTGGATATTTTTCCTGAACTCAGCGCTAAAAAATACATAAGAATCAATCAAGACATGCCATGCAACGTGACATGACCAAAAAAACGCAGGGCTGTGATGCCGCTAAAGAGGCCATCTTGAAAAAACGTTGCAGAATCTCATTTTTTATCCAAAAATTCGGCAAAAATCTTTAATAACTCGTTCCCTGTGCAAAATGAGTTAAGTCTTCATTCTATAAACTACTTTCTTTTTCTTTTACTGCTATGTTTCATATTTCTAATAACATATATTATTCTGTTTAGGGAGATGAATCAGGAGAGGTCTCCTCAGATGATGTCAACGGGCCAATGGAATCATCGAATGAGATAATTGGGCCATCGTCTGAATCATCAGATCCCCCGTCAAACCCTAAGAGGGCAAGACTCTTGTAAATATTAGTACTGATTGTAATAAACTGGCATATTAACTTTATTAATATTATAAAAATGTTAAATACATTTCTAAATTTCTTATTACACATGATTTTTTGATATAATTAATTACATCCATTTCCTCAAGCATTCCAATTTTTCCTTGCTTGTCAGCAGATTGTCGAAATAACTGACCACACTGGACCACTTATTAATGTCCCAATATACATGCAGATTTTTATTTCCCCTACGATAAATTAGATATTTTCTAAAATATTTCAAAAAGAATTCCAAGAATGATAAACATTGGCTGTTAGGGGTCAACTCATCGATAGTTATTGAGCAAGTCTGTAAAAATTTTCTTTTTCCTTTAATGAACGCAGATAACCTTCTAAGAGTAAAAAGATTAATTGCATGTATCACATTATCCGACGTTTTGTTTATTATAACTATTCTCTGGCAGTTTCTACTATTTTCCATTAGTTTATTACACGCATCGCATAATAGGGGTAATGAAAATTGTCCCGTGCATTTGACAGAACTAGAATTGAATAAAATAAATTTAAGGGTCTGTCTTGTATCCACTGGACTTACAGTCAACGGTACAGGTACATCCACCTTATGGATTTTTTCAGGAATCGGTGAAATTGGAGGAGCTTTCCTCTTCTCACATACAGTAGATACAGTCAACGGTACAGGTACATCCACCTTATGGATTTTTTCGGCAATCGGTGAAATTGGGGGAGCTTTCCTCTTCTTACTTACAGTAGATACAGTCAACGGTACAGGTACATCCACCTTACGGATTTTTTCGGCAATCGGTGAAATTGGAGGAGCTTTCCTCTTCTCACGTACAGTAGATACAGTCAACGGTACAGGTACATCCACCTTTTGCATTTCGATTCGTAGAGGGCAACACACTGAAAGAGAAATAACACATTTGCTGAGTGAATTGGCGATGTAATTTTCTGACTAATCAAAAGAGGATTGTGCAATTCTAAATTTACTACGAAAAATTAAAATTGCAAACAAAATAACCTTTAAAACAGTGATTACTTTCACATTTGAGAGAAAAAATTATATTTAGTCTTACAAATATTATGATATTAGTTTCGCGAAAATCAATTCAGTGGGTTGTCAAGATTTTCCCAGAACAGTAGCTCATATACCTCGCGGCCACTCATAATAATTAGTTTGCTGTGAAGAAATAAAAACGCGATCAAAGATAAGGAGATACGTATATGCGTACTTTAGCCATCGAATAGGTGCTCCTTGGGTACACAAAACAAAAAAACTTTCAAGAAATATTTGGATGGTTTTTTCTGTAGTTCTTCCTTATTCTCTATTATTCTTATGTTTCCGTTTCTCGATTTGCACTTTGGCAGCTGAGTCTTTGACTCTGTCCGAAATTCAGCCACAGATATTTTTTTTTTTACGATCAAACTTCTATACATATTATGAATCATAAAGGTACAAATGGACTGCGATAAACAGAAAGGAACCAAGCCACATCAGCTATTGCCAAATTTAACTGGGCAATAGCAAATTATTAAGTTTGATTTATTACGAGATACACTTCGAGATAAAGTTTGTAACATACAGGGAGGGTTTGGCAACATTGCTTGCGAGGCAGTTGCCACATATGCGAGTGAAAGAATCCTTGCAACCAAGTCGGCTGGTCTGTCACGTGGTTAATTTTGCTTATCTTTTTCGCGACGTTGAGTGCAAACGAAAAGTTAGAAAAAAAACAAAATTATGTCACCCGCTATTGTTTTTGGCGTAGATTGTCATTAAATGATACGTATAAAGAAATGAAAAAAGTGTACGAGGACGATTGTTTGGACAGAAGCAGTATTTGTCGCTGGATTGTTCTTTCTTCTCAAAAAGTACTCCTAAAATCCTGGAGGGCGTATCTCAACATGCCGCGAGAGAAACGTCATATCTCAGTCAATTTTTGACCAAACGAGCTCAACAAGGTCTCATTTTATTGGTTTCTACTCTGTCTACTCAAATATGTACACCAATTGTTTTAGCTTTTTCTGTTCGCTCTGAAAGTCGACTGTTGCATTACTTTTTGGACAACCTATGTAGTTAGCTAGACGCAGCCTTTACCTCACGATTAACCTCAAATCAGTTGATGAGCATAGTGAATTACTGAACCACCTATTTTGGATTAATAGTATGCTCACGTTGTATTGCTTTCTTTCTCTTTATGGCGGAGTGTATACACTGAATGAGAGAATCCACAAACTTCATGATGGAATCGAACACAGTTACAAGTCCTATCTCTACTTAAATATTCTTTTGGTTCACAACCCTTGACAGTTGATGTGCCAACAATTGATACGGCTCGGATTTCTATTGAACCATTATAAGGTCATTGAGGTCAAACATGAATTTACATGGTTACACAGATACACCGCAAAACACAACAAGTATGATTGTGTAGAAGCGTGCAGGCCTTCTTGCTTCTAAGGACTAAAAGCAACTGCGAAAACTCTTAGAGAAAATAAGAGATCCCTTGAAAACATTGAGAAAAGAGAACACTTGAGGATTCCCTGGCATAGATGGCATGCCAATGATAATCGCTAGGGTAAGTCGGTTTAATCATGATGTGAAACAGGTAGGAAGCTGGGTTCAGTCTCACCTTGATTGAGGCATATAGGGCTGTCCGGAGTAAGAGCTCCTGCTTTCTACTTCCTGAATTTTTTTTTTTTTTTTTTTGCAAAATTATTGTGTTTTATTGTGTTTTATTTTTTTGTGGCTTACTTTTTTTAATAATTTTAATTATAAATAGTTTCCTTAAAATCCCTTTTTTTTCCATGTAGATGATTCTTTATGTAGTTAACTATTTAAATTCGTGAAAAGTATGTTATGTTTTTTCGTCTCTGTTGTGATACACACTCATACTTTTTCTAATCAACCTTAAATACAGAAAATATACTGGAAAAAATGAGGTCAACTCTAAGGATTCAAGGCAATACAGTAAAAAATGAAAATATCATTTGTGGTACCAGGAGGTCAACCTTGAGAGATTCCTTGGTGCTGAAGCTTAAAATAAAATTATCATTCACAATTTCAACGGCTCAAGCCTGAGAGAGATTCGAAGTACTAAAGTTTAAGAGTATCTTTCACGATTTCAACAGACCTCTTGAAAATTACTGCACTTCATTAACATTCGCTTCAAATTTAAATTTCTGAAGCTCCTTTTAAAAGGGAAGATTGGCTCTATAATAAATTCCTTGTCCCATACTTGTTTCATGGACAACGAAATGTACAGCAAAGGTTTGAAAATTTGAACTCCATTTTCTCAAAACTTAAAACTTGACATCCAGTATTTATACATCTGTATATGGGGGCATTCCATGCCAAATCAACTGGACCAGTTCACCAACCGTCTTGGATTTGCACGACTTTTTTTAACTTGTTCTTTAGGTCAAAGTAAAAGAAAGTCCAAATTTTTAGCCCAAAATACGCAGTAGGTCTTGAGAAAAAAAAATTATCGAAGTTTTGATGATGTTTGAAAATTTGCATTTCTGGAATCACTAAAACGGCTCTGCCTGTCCTTCGAAAAATCTCCGAAAAAATTTGAGTTTTAACGATATCAGGCTAAAAACTTGTACACTGGTCACTGAGAGTAAGCATAATATGAGAAAAAATGTTTCGTGGACCCAAACCATGAGTGAGTAGAGCACCGGTCAAATATATATATCTTTTAAGCTTCATTTTTGCAGTAAAAACTAGGTTCAGTAAAATGAGAGTAGCAAAAACGGCGTGGGGGATATCCTAATTTTTTCTTTAATTTAAAATGATCCTTTCAGTATAATCTAAGAGGCTATGAAATAAAATTGATGGCTATCTGGCGTTTTGCTGGTTCAAATGTCAATTTTTACTCAAAATGCCCAGTAGAAGGTGGAAAAATTAGACTTTTTGACTATTTTCCATCAGAACGGATGGAAGGGTCGGTCGGACATTTAAAATTTACAGTACCTCTTTCACAGATCATGGAATGTTGCATCTTTTTTATGTGGTTCAACTAACTCAACCCGTTTCTGAAGGCGTGCAATGATATCTTGACTTTAGAAAACTCGAATTATGTTGAAATTCTCCAAATCAAAGTTTTTTTCATTAACTCAGACCTAGCCTTATTTTTCCTCAAAACGATAGAAAATCTTTACTAATTTGGATGAAGTTGGTTTTATAGACTACTCTATGCATACTGAGAGTATTTGTGGTTAAATTGTAAGGTTTGCGATCAGGCACCCATTCTTGGATTGAGTAAGCATCATTACACGTGAAATCACCCAACTTTCAGAAAATTTGTTGGTCGGCTGACCCAGAAATTGTTGAAGGTGTGAATACAAATTCATTTACGTTCAAAACGATGAAAATTTTTTTATTTTAATTTTTCAATAAATTTTAAGCATCGCAGCGTTGCCATATGACTCCGATATAAGGGGAAAAACGCTGTTAGTTGTAAGTAAAATATCTCTCAAAGAAATGATGCATTAATTAATTATGCAGAGTAAAAATTGACATTTGAAACAGCAAAACGCCAGATAGCCATCAATTTTATTTCATAGCCTCTTAGATTATACTGAAAGGATCATTTTAAATTAAAGAAAAAATTAGGATATCCCCCACGCCGTTTTTGCTACTCTCATTTTACTGAACCTAGTTTTTACTGCAAAAATGAAGCTTAAAAGATATATATATATTTGATCGGTGCTCTACTCACTCATGGTTTGGGTCCACGAAACATTTTTTCTCATATTATGCTTACTCTCAGTGACCAGTGTACAAGTTTTTAGCCTGATATCGTTAAAACTCAAATTTTTTCGGAGATTTTTCGAAGGACAGGCAGAGCCGTTTTAGTGATTCCAGAAATGCAAAGTTTCAAACATCATCAAAACTTCGATAATTTTTTTTCTCAAGACCTACTGCGTATTTTGGGCTAACAATTTGGACTTTCTTTTACTTTGACCTAGAGAACAAGTAAAAAAAGGAGATCTTTTCATGGGACTCTGCGTAGCCTTCTTCCTTTCAACAGACTCTTCTCTTCTGCAGTGCTATCATGCCATTGCCCCAGAATTACGCTCCGCAGATCCTCAGCCAGAGACATTTTGCCACGGTGGTTCAAGTGAATGCCATCTGGCCGGATGCAAGAGGAGCGGTTTCTGTGACGCAATAGCAAGATATTTGCCTCCTTCTCAAAGTATCGAAATAATCTTTTGTTTATGTTTCGAACTATATCTGCTTTTCCATACGCCCACATTGGAGGTACCTCAACTACTATCAAGCGACATGGAAAATCAATTTCTTTAATAACACTCAGGTTCATCTGTTGAAAAATTGTGAAAGTATTACCTGTCTCATCACTCAATATATCATTGGAGCCACCCATAATCACAAGATAATCATTTGGTGTTAGGCTTTGAACTATTTCATGTAGATTCTCAATGACACCAGCAGAAGTAGCACTAGGTTTGAAGACTACATCAATATTGTAGTCCTCTGGGAACAAGGGGCGCAGAAAAATATGGAGATCAGGCCCCTGGCTGCTCGTTAAAATTTTGATCGTGGATCGATTCATCTTGTTTCTCCTATGCTTCACAATGCTTCAGATCCAGCTAAAACGATTTTAAACAGTCTTTGTTGTACAAATTTTCCTCTATGTGAAGTTAATACGACAAACAATACATAAAAATGATGAAATTAGGATAATGTATAGTGGTCCATGGGAATGCAATTCTTAAATACAATTGTTATCATTTGAAAACTTCATGCTTATAATTATTTCATCAGATATTAGAAAATTTGATACACTTACTAAATATTAATTTTCCCTTCAGCAATTAGTTTCTTGGAATATAAAATAAGTACTCATGTATTCGAGCAGTTCTAAAACAAAAAGAAATAAGAGGTCAAAACATTAGTAAAAATAAATGTTATTAAAAGTTTGTGACAAAAAAAAAGAAAACAAACAAGATAATGGTATTCCTTAATCACAGAGCAACCTCCAGAATATGAAACGTAAGAATCTGCTTGTCAACAGTCAGATAGATGGCATACATAAAAGAACGCAATATTTTTTATCCTTCCAGAAATAACATACTTGTTGATATAGATGAGTAATATGGAGTATACATTGTGAATATTTGGCTCTTTATCAATAAACACTTGACAATTTAGTCTTGGAATAAAGTAACGTTTACAGCATTCATAATGGCAGGTGTAACAGCCACGGCCAATCAAGTTTAGGACTACAGTTCATAGAAACTGTAAAGTGTCAAATTGGATAATACTTCGACAAAATCCTGCTCAACCTGACCTAAAATTATACCTGAAAACGATTTAACATAAACAACTAAGTCACGGAATGCGTTTTTCAATGCATTGTTGCCAAACTTTCTTAATGTCGTTTCTGAAGTGAGCCGTCCTAAAGTAGTTTTTGGGTGCGCTCGCTTTGCTTGCAAAAAACGATAATAACCCTCACGAGTGGTACTTTCAGTCACGAAAGGACATAAAGCGGACTGGCCTTAATTAGTTTCCAGCTGCGCTCGCAAAAAACTAAAATAACCCTCTCGAGTGGGACTTTCGGTCACGATGTCCTTAATTAGTTTCCGGGAGCGCTCGCTTCGCTCGCAAGAAACTAAAGTAACCCTCTCGGGTGGGACTTTCAGTCACGATGTCCTTAATTAGTTTCCGGGTGCGCTCGCTTCGCTCGCAAAAAACGAGAAAAACCCTCACGAGTTGTACTTTCGGTCACGATAGGAAAATGAAGGATTTTCCTTAAATACGGCAACACCCCTTTCAACGGTCCGTATTCTATAGTGCCATGGCACTATAATATTATTCTATAGTGCTATAGCACTATAGTATACGGACCGCTACTTATTGTGCGTTGTTTTTCGAAATTTTTGTCTTCAATATTTTTTTTCTTTGATAGTGTTACCAGTGTTACTGTTCTGCGTACGCAACCCGACGGTAAATTACGCAACATTACGCAGAAAAATTTCCCAATTACGCACGCAATTACGCAGGAAAAATTGTCAAAATACGCAGAAATTACGCAGGAAAAATTGTCAAAATACGCAGAAATTACGCAAAAATTTTCAAATTACGCAGAAATTACGCAGTTAAAGTCAAATTTTGAACAAACTTACGCTTATTATGTGATTCTGAAATATTTTTGTTTCCTATGTAAGGTAGGAATTTATTAGCAAAGTTTGCAGCATTGCTTCTACGTAAAAAACTATCTTCACTACGACCGTTTACCACTGGTTTACGAAGATCGGCATGACGTACCTAACCTAAAAACCGCGATAATAAACTGAAATTTTTAAAAAACTTCAATTACGCACGAATTTCGCATGATTACGCAGAATTCTTCCAATTACGCAGCATTACGCATTACGCAGCAACCCTCCAACTACGCAAAAAAAGGCCTCAATTACGCAGAACGGTAACACTGAGTGTTACCCCACCCGGGACCCCATTCCCTCTCCTCGGTCCCGAATGTGCGCAGGAATTCACGATATAACATTAGTTTTGTGAACGGTCCACATACTATAGTGCCATGGCATTATAATCTACGGACCGTTATTATCGCGTGATTTCTGGATTTTTTTGTGTTTTTTGCTCGTGTTTATTAGTGTTACCCCATTCCCTTCCCTCGGTCCTCGGTCCCGAATGAGCGTAGGAATTCGCGATTGGAGGTTAGTTTCGGGAACGGTCCATATACTATAGTATAGCCAAAATAAATTTAGTTTCCAAATGCCATTTTCACAGGAAAGTCAGTGGAAAAGACAATGTACGTACCTAAGAACGAAGACAATTACACAAGCGGCAAGGTACAAGAGTATTGTCTGCTTTGTACACTCTGCAAGATGTATCTGGATTCTGGCGGGTATTGTTTACATTCGGGAACTAAAATGACCGCGGTTACATCAAAAGCGCGCGGAATTTGAAATGACGGNGCCGTTGCCTGATACGGGTACACTTAGCTCGTATATCCGGCGGTATCAACTAGGCTGAAGGCGCGTCTTTACCCCCCTAGCTGTCTTACCTTCCCCGCCCAAAGTCGGGCCCAATGCGCGGTCTAGATTGTATTATACGTCAATGATCTGGATTCTGGCGGGTATTGTTTACATTCGGGAACTAAAATGACCGCGGTTACATCAAAAGCGCGCGGAATTTGAAATGACGGGTCCGCCGTCCTAGGAGCGGCTGCACTAGGGCGAGTCAAAAAACATCGACTTTCGAATTTCAAAAACGTATAGGGGGGAAAAGTTGCGCCTAGGCATCAAACTAAAGTGTGCCAAAGCGTTCCTCGAAAAAAAAAAATTCTTGGGGTGCCTCTTCTGCAGTTTGTGTCAAAAAATCACGTGATTTATGCTGTTTTTCCAGATTCCATCGCACTATTTAAGCGTAATAAAGATTCGCTAGAGCCCTGATTTTTGGAGCATTAACTCACTACTAGTATAGTCATTTAAGGTGTACTAATTAGTTTTTAGATCAACATATTTATTGTGCCCCCCACATGCCCTTAAAAATGCGAAAAACGCGATTGCGGCCGAATGCGCCTCGCGTATTTCAACGATTTTATCGATTTTTTTAGGTGACCACGCAAAAAGTCAATTTTCGGTTTTTAGGAACTATTTATATAGGTGATTAGGGAAAAATATTAGTTTTTTGAATGCGGGCGGTTTTTCCCCCATTTGCGAGCTCACAGTTAGGCCGAATCGCTCGATTTGGCCGAAATCACATCGATTTTCGCTATTTTTTTGCACGACGCGGCAAGCATGTAAAAAATCGGGCTTTCACTTTTCGTAGACTCTTTTCATAGTAAAATAAGAAGATATAATAATTATTTTGCTGGGGGATGTTTTTGTACCTCTGCGGAGCCCTTACAGAGCGAGAAAAACACGATTTTTAGCGACTTTTCAGCGATTTTTGACGATGTTTTCAGGGACTTGGCAACCACGCAAAAATTTGACCCTTCAATTTTCAGGGACTCTTTTCATGGCAGAATAAGATCCCGTAAAACGTTTTTTGTTTAGGTCATTTTTTGTACCTCCTCAGCGGCAAGAAAAAGATAACCCGTGACTCCCATTTATCACTTTAAAAACCTTGAATATTTTAACTCTTTTTTTACGTATTTGAGCTGTAATTGATACAAAAGTTCAAAAAAATATTTAATTATTAAATTTTAGTGATTTAATTAATTATTTATTAAATAATATTAATTATTATTAGTTCTATTTAATTATTGTATTTAAATATTTGATTTATTGAAGGTTTAATTTGTCACTTTACCTGATTTAAATTAAAATGAACCATGATAAAGTTAGAAGACTTTTGATAAATAAACATTTAATAAGCAATAAAAGTTTAATACGTAAAAAAAGAGTTAAACACCGTACAGCGTACGGCGGTACAGCGTATTGACTCATCTTTGGAAGCATGGTCTGAGTTTTCCGGATTTTTCCAGGGTCTCTGCCTTTCTATAAGGGTTGCATTGATGCTTCAGAATGGAGAATACTTCATTTTGGATTTTCCGGAGCACTCTAAGCTTGCCAAGTGGTCTAGAAAAATTCAAATTTTTGGCGGGAAAGGACGTATACATGAAAAAGCCACCTTGAGACGATCTTGCAACTCTGTACGACCCCGGAAAATTCCGAATGAAGTTTTTCTCTTTTTTAAGACTCCACTCGACCTACTTAGACCATGGGAGAGTCCCAGGGAAATTTTTCATACGGCTGAAGAGGCAGTGACACCTCATAACAGGTACAGCGTATTGAGTCATCTTTGGAAGCATGGTCTGAGTTTTCCGGATTTTTCCAGGGTCTCTGCCTTTCTATAAGGGTTGCATTGATGCTTCAGAATGGAGAAAACTTCATTTTGGATTTTCCGGAGCACTCTAAGCTTTGCCAAGTGGTCTAGAAAAATTCAAATTTTTGGCGGGAAAGGACGTATACATGGAAAAGCCACCTTGAGACGATCTCGTATTGAGTCATCTTTGGAAGCATGGTCTGAGTTTTCCGGATTTTTCCAGGGTCTCTGCCTTTCTATAAGGGTTGCATTGATGCTTCAGAATGGAGAAAACTTCATTTTGGATTTTCCGGAGCACTCTAAGCTTGCCAAGTGGTCTAGAAAAATTCAAATTTTTGGCGGGAAAGGACGTATACATGGAAAAGCCACCTTGAGACGATCTTGCAACTCTGTACGACCCCGGAAAATTCCGAATGAAGTTTTTCTCTTTTTTAAAACTCCACTCGACCTACTTAGACCATGGGAAAGTCCCAGGGAAATTTTTCGTACGGCTGAAGAGGCAGTGACACCTCATAACAGGTACAGCGTATTGACTCATCTTTGGAAGCATGGTCTGAGTTTTCCGGATTTTTCCAGGGTCTCTGCCTTTCTTAAGGGTTGCATTGATGCTTCAGAATGGAGAAAACTTCATTTTGGATTTTCCGGAGCACTCTAAGCTTGCCAAGTGGTCTAGAAAAATTCAAATTTTTGGCGGGAAAGGACGTATACATGGAAAAGCCACCTTGAGACGATCTTGCAACTCTGTACGACCCCGGAAAATTCCGAATGAAGTTTTTCTCTTTTTTAGCACTCCACTCGACCTACTTAGACCATGGGAAAGTCCCAGGGAAATTTTTCGTACGGCTGAAGAGGCAGTGACACCTCATAACAGGTACAGCGTATTGACTATGGTCTGAGTTTTCCGGATTTTTCCAGGGTCTCTGCCTTTCAAAAAGGGTTTCATTGATGCAATAGAATGTAGAAAACTTCATTTTGGATTTTCCGGAGCACTCTAAAAGCTTGGCAAGTGGTCTACAAAAATTCAAATTTTTAGCGGGAAAGGATGTGCACATGGAAAACACCTTGAG